TAATGATAGAGGGAGGACAAATATTAAGACCAAATTTATTGCTTTCTAGGAAAACATTGCTCAGTGTTCCAGATATCGGAATATCAAGCCATTTTCGGATGTAGCCATTCACTACAGAGTCGAGATGTTGCGTTATCCAGGTTTTGGATATATTTGCTATGGTGAAATGCCATGACAACTTCGATAGGACATAGCGGCTGTACAGAAGAATTTTGTGTTTAGGATGCAGTGGCTTTATATCGATGTCATTCATCAAGATTTGTAAAAGAGAAGACAATTCAGATTTGTGTTGGTTATTAGACATGTTGAAGTCAAAGAAGCGACCTAAGTAACGAAATGATTCACCAATTTCCATACAGGGAATTAGAACTCCATTGATCAACAGCTTGGGTAAATGGACAGATTTAAAGCACAGTTTCCGTATTCCAAAAGTAGAACATTTGTCAACTCTGATCGTCATGTTCGACCAATTACACCATAATATGAAGCGATTAATTAGGTGTTGATAATAATAATAACAATAATAATAATAATAATAATCCATATATAGCGCCTTTTCTACAAGATTCAAAGGCGCTGTTTACAAAAATTAAATAAAGCTAGAAAGTAAAAATGATCATAAGAAATTGTGATACCTCTCTGTTCTTATATCAAATTCTCTATCAATTAGTTCTCGAGAAACGTCTAATAAGTTATTTATCATCCAACACGCCAAACTGTTATTTCAGCGCGAGCAAATTTCGTGGATATTTATTTACGTGGAAAGTATGCGAGGCGGAATGGAATTGGTGCGTTGTCCTAGAACGTTCAGTGTGTAAGAGAAAGTCGTTGTGGTTTGGTGCTCGGGCTACCAAGCGACCGAAAGTGAGTGACGGTATGGTAAAACATTCTCTAGTTGAATTTTCAAGCCTTACCATGATATCCATTCACTTCCGGAAATGAAGAGTATGTCTGTTCCGTAGAGAGGAGAGGAGTTCTTTTTAATCAGCTACTAAATCTTGAGTACGTCAAGATAGTAACCCTCAGCTCACACTCAACCTGATGACAGGTACATTTACCAACCTGACATTCTGCTTAGTATGAAAACAGACCTAAGAAATGAAATAACAAGTTCACTTACCTGTAGATGTTTTTTCGGCAGATGGGGTAAAAAAAGGCTGTCCCTCTTTAGAAGAGTTGCTTGACCTCTCGCAAAAGCTTGTCAAGTGGAAACCACTTGGGCGTTACCTATTGGACATGGATGAGTCTACAATAACACAGATCCATAAGGAAAATGAGGAACTGGAGGAAAAGGCTTATCAAATGTTGCGACATTGGAAACAGAAAAAACACAAAAAAGCAACCTATCATGCTTTATTTTCGGCTTTGTGTAGGATAGATCGCAAGGATTTGGCTGAGGAATTTTGTCGAGCAGGAACAAGTACCTTTTAATATACTTCGTTGCAATTTATATTCTGGTGATACGTATTTCATACACTGACAGCTATATTTAAGTCAAACTCCTACTTGTGCTTCCCCCTTTTTAGAAACTATGCTATTATTAGATTCAAAGCGTTACTGGTTCCATGGCCGGATGTCTTCTTTCACATACTGCACTCCTTTTTTAATCAGTGTATGTTTGGCTAACATCAAACAAATTAAACCTTAACATAAAAAAAATCAAATTTCGTTATATTTCGTCCATGTCCAAAAAGACTATCTTTTCAACCTAAAATATGCATATTTGACAATGAGGAGAATATGAACGTCCCCTTAGTCTGCAAAGATTACGCTAAGTGTCTAGAAATATTAATTTACCCTAATCTTTCTTGGAAGATCCATATTGAATATATCACTCTGAAGATTAGTAAAACTGTAGGTCTTCTCGCACAATTAAGACACTTTGTACCTCCCCACACCTTATTAAATATTTATCAGTCTTTAATCTGTCCTTATATTACTTATGGATTATCTGTCTGGGGCCAGGCCTGTAAGTCTTATCTAAATGATATCTTAATGTTACAAAAATGTGCATTACGTTTCAGGTACTTCGCAAACAAAAATTAACATACCATTCCACTGTTTATTAATGCTAAGATTTTGCCTCTGAACTTTTTGTTCTACGAAACTTTATCCGAATTGATGCACGACGTTAGCACTGCTACTGCCCCAATTAATATACGTAATTTATTTACGAAAACGTCTAGTATCCATTCTTATAACACACGCTCATCTACTTCAGATAATTTTTACATAAAAGCTTCAAGACTTGAAATCCAAAAATTTTCTTTTTCAAGGATTGGTGCTAAACTGTGGAATGAGATACCTAACTCTCTGAGAGGGCTACCAAAGAAATCCTTCAAACTCAGAATTAAAAATAAACTATTAGGTGTACTCGAAGATGAAGACTCTTTCATTGAGGTTCACAAAATCTTATTTAAGCGAAATTAAAATGTCAAGTAGTAGTAGTAGGGGGGAGGGAAGAGAGAGGAACAAACAAACAAACAAATATCATCTATTAAATCACATTCTTTTCCTACTTTTCTTTTTAATTTTACTAATATTAATAGTAATAAGCTAATGATGGACTGTAGCTATTGATGGACTAGCCCGCCTAGACTAGCATAGCTATATGCGGGCCAGTCTGACTTTAAGTGTATGTTTTTATGTAATAACAATAATGATAAACGATGACATGATTATGATGATGATGATGATGATGATGGTGATGATGATAATCCCATTGGTGCACGGGCGGACTAATAGTCCTAACGTTATGGTTAGCATGGCTTTTGTATCTACCTATTTTCCCTAAAGGCTATAGCCTTTCCTTCCCTAGGGGTTCGTTTTAGTCAGATAGTTTGCTTGAAGCATGTTCACCTTATTAGTTCTTCATTACTCTACCTTTTCAAACACCTTTGTGATACTTAAAAGAGAAATGTGATCGTTTGTCTCACGATGAAGTCACTTGGAATGATTGTAAGACAAACAATTACATTTCTCTTTTAGTATCATTGACCACGATAAACAACCACAATTTATTTAACAATATACAACTTTGTGATATTTGCAATAGTTTTGACGTCCATGAAACAATCTTCAACCTCTCTTTCTCACAAAAGGAAGAAGCTTAGGAAATATCTGATGGGTGTTTAAACTTCAGTTGATAAGGAAAGTGAAGCGAATTCAAAACTTAGAAAAAAGAAACCCCAGCACTTCTCGTACTACATAATCGGAGTGTCTCACGGAGGACCATTTAATAAAGATCCGTTTGCATGATTAACGTCTCATCGTAAAGGTAAATTAAGATATCTCAAGGCGTACAAAGAAATATACAAAGGAGCAATACGTGTATTTTTCTCAAAATCCACGACACTCACACCTGTTTTTGATAAGTGAAACGTGCTCGTGTTGCAAGGATTGATGCTTCTGAAAATTTCTCCTGTTCGATTGTTCAGAAGTCCAAAACTAGTATTTTCCTCGTTGAATTGATGAATGTTCCCATTCTATAACTACCGGAAGTAATTATAGAGTGACTTCTCCCTATGTTATGAGTGCATTTTTCAATTAAGAGTGTTGAAGAAAGCAAACTAATTTGTTAAGTATATCATTATGATAACGAATAGAACAAATTATCTTTTCTGGTTTATTATGAAACTCATGCGACAAACATAGGGTAGAATTTTGAGTCATCCTCAAGGACCTTTAGTTTAAAATGTACCATACTGACTTTTTTACGAGAAAAGGAAAAGCTATTGCAATTGAAGGCAGTCACCTTGACCACTACTTTGCTTCATTATATCCTAAAAGTCTAACATCATACATTGAGTAACGTTTTTTTAAGAATTGAAAATAAAGATATTGAAAGCACACAACGGTTCGGTATCCTGATTATGCTTTTAAAAAAAAAGCTTTCGTGTACTCAGGTCAAATGCACGTGGCTTTTGCCATGATATGTCAAGCAAGTCGATTATGCCAGGGTTCGTGACATAAACTTTAAATCGACAAAGAAGATGAAATCTGACTTGGATGCGAGCATTGACAATGTTCCAAATGATTCTTTTCCTGATGATTACAAACTTGATCTATGATGCAAAAAAATTGTCAAAAGAAATCCCAGCCCCACCAAAAGTGGAAATGGACCAGTTCTTCGCTGAACTGAGCAAAAGCAAGAATAAGCCCATCGCTCTCAGTCTCATTCCAGAATATGCTGGAAGTTACGTTTGCGAGAGTCGCTCTGCGCCAACAATGAAAGATCTTTTCTATGAAGGTAGATCCTGGACAAAATGTTCGATTCGTCGTTTCGTTATGGCGTTTCGTCGTTTCGTTATGTCGAGTCGTTGTTTTCCGAGTTCGACTCGTCGAACTTTCAGTTCGTTTCGTCGTATTGTCAGTTCGATTCGTCGGCTGGCCTCTTCGACTCGTCGTTTTACGAGTCCGACTCGTCATCGACCACATCGGTTCGTCGTTTTGTCGTTTCGTCATTTCGTCATGGCGTTTCGTCGTTTCGTTATGTCGTTTCGTCGTTTCGTTATGTCGTTTCGTCGTTTCG